TTACCCTTATGATATAAACCTGAACAAGCAAATATGTTTCAACATCAATTTTTGAACTCTCATGCCTTTAACTACTAGTCTATGTTTGTTTTCAACAAGTCAAGATCTCTAAGTAAAAACTCTTTTTTACCTTGAACGTTGTTGGGGTGGTAAGGTGAAACACGAGAGCATCTCCATCGACTAACTGATGATCAATGGCGAAACCTCTCCAACCTCCGCTAAGACCATTCTTATCAGCAAGGTATTTCGTCTCAAATTCATCATCTTCTTCATCAACTAAAGCGATCATTTCATCGCGTTTTGGCAGATGCGTCTTGCAAAAGTGATGCGGCAAGCCCTATTTGCAAAAACAGAAAGAAAACAAATCAAAATTCTCAGACATATATTTTTAGCATTCAAGTTTCTTTAGTATCACCATTGAACTTCAGTACATACCAGCCAAAATCCTCCGGTCACATGTGATTGGAGCATTGGTTTAACAAAGCTTGGGAATTCCTGCTCTAAGCTTGATTGAAGCATCTCTGCCCTGTCGATTGCATACATTCTTGCCTCGTCCGAGGCATAAACCCGGTTTAGCAAATCTCTTCTCTGATAGCTCCTGCAAAGCAAACACACATGTAACTAACTAATTGATAAATCACATAAAAATAGCTTTGGAGAAGTATGACATTTGATGTAGAGTGTGTCGTTTGTTCAACCTTCTTGGCCTTTCCAAAGTATCTATCCCATCCTGCAAATATGGATCAAAGAACTCTGATTATGATTTTTAGCTACAAAGAAGATTTTCATACCTAACTTTTAGAAGCTAACAACAAGATCTAATTATTTTAAAAACATGTCTCACTTCACAAAAAAGATTTAGAGCATTTATACTAATCAAAACTATGTAAATGGAGAACACAAAATTCCATATTTCACACACACACCAAAATAAAGGTAAATGGTAGAAAAGACCTCTCTGTAACTCGGAGGAGGATTCTTGGCACGGCTTGATCTCCTGACCTCTGAGAACTCCACCGGAAAACGCGGCGTCCTTGGCTTAGTCTGCATTTCCAAAAATAATTGAAAAGAGTTAAAACTCCG